AGCAATAGATTAAAACAATTCCATTTACAATAACATCATAAAGAATAAAATACATAAGAATTTAACAAAGGAAGCACAAATTTTTACTCTGCAAAATACAAAACATTGTTAAAGGAAATTAAAGATCTAAATAAATATATTTTATTATTCACTGAATAGAAGATTTAATATTGTGAAGATGACAATATTTTCCAAATTGATCTGTAGATTAAACACAGTATCTGTCAAAATCACAGCTGACTTGAATGTAGAAGTTGACACTCTGTTCTTAAAATTCACATGCAAGTGACACAGAAGCAGCACAAGTAATCTCAAAAAACGACCACAGTTCAATGATTCACACCTTCTGATTGCAAAATGACAGTATTCAAGACAGGGTGGCATTTGTGCAAGATCCACATATAAATCAATGAAATGGAATTGAGAGTCTAGAAGTGAAACCTTGCATTCATGGTCAATTGATTTTAACAAAGACATCAAGGCAATTTCATGGACAACTAATAGTCTTTTCAATAAATGGTGGAGGCAACTAGCTAGCCACATACAAGATAATAAAGGTAGATCCCTACCTCATGTCATATATAAAAATAAATTCAAGATGGATTATAGACTTAAGTGTAAGAGCTAAAATATAGGAGTGAGAAAATATAGGAGCAAATCTTCATGATCTTGGGTTAGAAAATGTATTATTTCCCAAGATATGACTAAAAGTGATGCGGCCACCAGCCTACAGTGACTGCAGAATGCTGCAGATGGCTCGTTGAAACTCGAGAAAAACATACACAGGGACAACCGGGTCCTGTGGAGAAATAGGGACGAAATGGCCACTCTCTCTAGTGGAGAACACTATGGCCACCCTCTCTAGTGGAGAGCACCCTGAGGCACTAGGCTTTTATTAAGAATACAGACACAGTTTGTGGATTCCAGTCTGGCAGGGAAGATCAAAAGGAATAGGTAGTTTTCAACGGGACTGACAGAACTCCCACTTGGATTCTGGGCTGAGAGTTTGTGTTTTACCACTTAAAAAGACTACAGGATCTAAAAGGCTAGTCTCGTTTCCTGCCCATGCCTTCATATTCTAATTCAATAGCATCCACCAGCAAGCAGATCTCACAGGATCTTGCATATTGTATGTCCCAGGCCTGATTACCCCGGGGGTCCACCAACTCTGGTCTGGGCTGCACTGCCCCTGTTATTTCCACAGGCCTGAGTCAGGCAGAGGAGACAAAGGCAGCCAGGAGACTTGGATTTCTCACAAAGAACAAGGACTCAGGCTTTGACAAAGCCGAGGGGGCAGGGGTCGATGTCAATCACCCCTTCATTTCCACAGCCCTGAGTCTCTTCCCTGAGGCCTTTTTGTGGTCATGCCTGTCTGAGATGATTCCCTCCATGGGAAATCTTACCCGTCATTGGCTAACTGATCAAGCATTGGAGGCCAGGCACAGAACAGGCAGCGTTCATGACAGGGAAATAAGTTTTGTCTCCTTAGTGTCTCCTGGTTCAGAGGTCTCTCACTCAGCCTAAGTTGTGGGGGGTTACAGCTACCTGAGACCAGGCAGGTGGACTCCAACATAAAAGCACACCTAACAGAAAAGGAAAACAGGTAAATCCAACTTCACCCAAATTAAAAACATTTGTGCTTCAAAGGATACTATCAAGAAAAAGTCTTATATGCTAAGGGACTTTTATTCAAAATATATAAAGAACTTTTACAACACAATAATGAAAAGAAAATAACCATTTAAAAATGGCCAAAGGATCTGAATAGACATTTTTCCAAAGAAGACATGTAAATAGCTAAGAAGCGTATAACAAGGTACTCAACATGATTAGCTGTTAGGCAAATGCAAATGACACTACAATGAAATGCCATTTTACATACATGAGGATGGCTATAATCAAACAGACAGGTAACAAGTGTCAGAGAGGGCAGAGGGAAGTTGGAGCCCTCATACACTGCAGGTAGGAATGCAAACTGGTACAGCCATTTTGTGAAAAAGTTTGGCAGTTCCTCAGCTGTTAAACATAGAGCTGCAGTATGACCCAACAATTCTACTCTTAGAAATAAAATGTATACATGAATGTTTAGAACATTATTCATAGTAGCCAAAAAGTAGAAAGACCCTAAATGCCTATCAAATGCCCATCAGCTAATAAATACAAAAATGTGGTATGTTCACACAATGGAATATTATTCAGTCGTGAAAAGGAATGCAGTACTGACACATGCTACAGCATCAGTGAACCTTAAAAAAATTATGCTGTGTGAAAGAAGACAGTCACAAAAGATCACATACTGTATGATTCGATTTATATGGTATATCTCAAACAGACAGTTTTATAAAGACTGACAGTAGGTTCAGCAGTGGCCAGGGCTGGTAGGTAAGTAAGAAACAGAGTACAGGGTTTTCTTTCAGGGTGATTCAAGTAGTACCGAATTAATTGACGTGATGGTCACACAATTTTGTGAATAGCCTAAAAACCATTGAACTGAAGAAATTTGTGAATTATATCTCAATAAAGCTATTACAAAAAGTTATACAGGCAACAGCTTATATTACAAGTTAAAACTAAATCTAAACTGAAAGCACCATGATTTGAAAGCCACTGTTCTGTAGGGCTCTCTCATCCAAGAGATGAATGGATGGTAAGAACAAAGCAGTCTCCCTGTCAGCCCACAACTGGTGGAGTCTTTCTTAGAAATCTGAGTCTGGTTTTAATCTCTATGCTTTATTAAGGATGTGGAAAAATTGGAGACAATTCTGACAAGTACGTAATAGTACTGCTAAATTATTAGAGACTAACGTTTAAGAAAGAATATGAGGCCATTAGTCTAATTTAATCCAGAATCAGGGGAAAAAACAGACCTGGGCATTTGAGATATGTAAGGGAGACAAGGGTTGTTGGCGAGCCTGTGAAATGTAGCGAGCGTGGTGAGAGGAAATGAATGGCTTTGCACTATGTCTGTAAAGGGCACAGTTAAGCACAGTTGGAATAAATTCAAACCAGACGACTTTGTATTATACATTGTCCTGATAATGAGAGTAATTATTTATAAGAGCTTTAAATATTAGACACAAGCAGGGAGCAATGGGACAAAATGGAGACAACTGTACTTGAACAATAATAATAAATGAATGAAAGCATTTAACATGAGGAGGTATTCATAGTTCTGAGAGTTCAAAGAACATGAAAAATATATAAGCCTTTTGTATATGTAATTTGTTATAAAAGAATATATATTAAATAATCACAATGAGAGAAATATGCCATGTTTATTAGTTTAATAGTTGTTATTAATACGATCAGTGCATGTTGTCATTTTTTTGTATTTTTCACATTTCCCATGATTTGCCATATATAACCAAAAAATAAATATTTAAAATGCATGTAGAACACATATAATCTATTTTAGTTTAAGTGTATGGGTCCTCTCCAGATACTTTCACATTTTAATCACATTGTTTCCACAGGCGAGAAATGTCTACCCCAGGAGCAAACGGATGGTGTTAACCTCTTCATTTCATTAGACTACTTTTTTCTGATTTACTTGATTTAAATGACAATACTGCTGTAACTTATTTTGGATTTATTTATTTATTTACCAAATATACCTAACACAGTATATTTGCTTAAATAAGATGCAATTTTAATGACAATTCTTCATCTTTTATTTTATTACATGATCATACTACAGGTATTTTAAATAGCAAACTATTTTATAAAGCATACCTTATGCCACCCATATTGTTTAAGTATAAAGAATGAATAAAGAGAAAAAGTAAATAGACTCTTTCCGGCATGCTGTGGTTTAATTATATCTTACAATGCCTCTGGTTCACCTTTCCTTTGTAGTTCTCAAAGTTATTATAGCTCAGCAAGTATTTACTGAGAGATTACCATGAGTAATTTTCTCCTCAGAGTTTAAAAATCATTATGTACCTACATAGCAGATACATAAAAGAATGTTTGCAAATTATTCTTTTTTTATATTTTTAAAGATTTTATTTTATTTATTTTTTATTTTTTAGAGAGGGAAGGGAGGGAGAAAGAGAGAGAGAGAAAAACATCAATGTGTGGTTGCTGGGGGCCGTGGCCTGCAACTCAGGCATGTACCCTGACTGGGAATCAAACCTGCGACACTTTGGTTCTCAGCCCGTGCTCAATCCACTGAGCTATGCCAGCCAGGGGATGCAAATTATTCTAAGTTAATACTTCACTGTTCTCATTGGTAGCTTCCCAGGCAGGCAAGCTTGCTGGAGAATAAACACACAATCATGGGTGTGTGCTGGCTTCTTCTATTCTTTTTTCTTTTGGTCTATGGTAACTTTCATCAAAAGTCCTACCTGGCTTTTCTATATAGATTTTAAATTTGATGTCATATTAATGACTTTAATATTATTTATTTAATAGACCTTCCTTTCTTTAGAGCTGTAGTCTTCAAGAAATTCAGATTTCTGGGTTTCATTTTAGCCCATATTTCTGGGATAGGACCCTTACATGTATTTGTTTTAAAAGCTCCCTGCCATAAAGGCACCCAGCTTCAGATCATTACATTAAAGGGTTTTGCTCATCTGTGTTCTTCATGGGATGGCTGTCTTCAGTCCTTGACTACATAATCTCTGGAAAGTTGTTAGAAAATGCAGATTTCTTGATTCTATCCAAAGCCAATTATATTACTATATCAGAGGTCTGGGGAGTAACTGCGGTTTTTAGTGGTTTGTTTTTTTCTTTCAATTGCATTACAGGTGATTGCTAAGGTAAAGTGCGATTTGCTAATTACTGCACTGGCCTGTGAGTCACCAGTGACCAGGGATTCTTTCTTCCCTTTCACCATCTAATGTAGTGCCCTCTATTAGTTGTTCTATGAAGGCTTGTCAAATGAATGATGGACCAGACATCCCCTGTTATATTTGCCCATGTCTGCATCCCTGAGTGACATTTATAAGTTGAGTCTAGTTCCAGATTTAGTCATGTTGGTCTTCATTTTCTTAGCACAGGTGCAGCAGTGAACAGCAGTGAGAGTCTCCCTCCATCCTCGTCTGTCAATGACATCTCCTCCATGTCCACCGACCAGACCCTGGCATCTGACACTGACAGCAGCCTGGAAGCCTCGGCGGGACCCCTGGGTTGTTGCAGGTGACTAGCCGCCTGCCTGCGAAACCCAGCGTTCTTCAGGAGATGATGTGATGGAACACACACACACACACACACACACACACACACACACGCTCACAGACACTCACATGCACACAAAAATGCAGACATGCAATGACAAGAAAACAGCAAGGAAGAGAATCCAAGCCTAAAATTGAAACAAATCTTTCAGCCTGCTTCTTCTCCAGAGTTCTGTATTACAGCTAAGCCAAATGTATATTTAACCTAGTTGCTCTTGCTTTGGTCTTCTTCCAATGATGCTTACTACAGAAAGAAATCAAACACAATTAGAGAAGCCTTTTCCATAAAGTGTAATTTTAATGGCTGCAAAACCAGCGACCTGTAACTGCCTTTCCAAATGGCATGACAAGGTGTGCAATGGCCCCAACCAGCATGTGTGTGTCTCTATCTTGCATCTACCTGCTCCTTTTGGCCTAGTCAGATGGATGTAGATACAGATCCGCATGTGTCTGTATTCATGCGGCACTGCTAACTTAGAGATGCTCCTGTCAGTGTCCTCAGGGCTCTACCGAGACATCATGCACTGGGGTACTATGTGGTCCATTTCATGTGATCTACTACTCTGACATAAACCCATCTGTGATATATTGCCAGTATATAAGCTGTTTAGTTTGTTAATTGATTAAGCTGTATGTCTTATAAGAAAACATGTAAAGAGGGGAAATGGGGGGAGTGAGCTCTCTCGGACCCTTGAAGATGTAGCTTCCAAATTTGAATTGATTAAATGGCACCTGTATACCAATTTGTAGAAAGAACAGATGTGATGCTTATGTACATGTGGGGGCGGGAGGGGTGACAGTTTCCAGGCACTGGATGGGTTGGCTTTTAAAAGGAAGGTGGGGATAAAGCTGAGTGTCTTTTCTCTGACAGTGTGTGAGTAGGACTGACTAGAGCAGAGTTGCAATTTGAAGACCTGGAGGAGATTATTGCCCAGATACTAGGAGACACTGGCATCCATATTTTGGAGAAGAGACCCCAGTTGTTATTTACAAATTCTGTTTCATAACTGGACAGAGAGTGGCAGGAGGTGAGGCGGGGTGTCGTGCATGTACCTGACTGTGAGGACTGCTCCCTGGAGCAGAGCGGGAAGCCCGTGTGTGACATCCTAACAGAAAGTGGGCCTACCTAGACTGTCCTCACATTGTGGGTTGTGTTCTCCATGGGTGTGCTGCTTCCAGGTTTATACTCTGTCAAGGCTTTACTTTGAGAAGAAATATTACTTTCCTATTCTGGAATTAAAAAAATAGTAACTGTTACTTAAACAAAACCCCAAAGCACAGGGTGACCCTCAGGTTAGCATTTGACCACATTTCCATGGATGTTATTATTTCTCAGGAGTTTCCCTGACTACTTAATATGGCTGATGTTTCATATTCATTTATTTTCATAAATTTGAATCATCCAAGAAGGGCTGATCATTCAAGTTTAGTACTGCAGTCTATGTGACAGCAATAACTGCCCACAAGTTAGTGCTGCTAAACAGCTTTAGCAATATGAGTTTGTCTTAAAAGCCATAAAGCATTTCTGTCAATGTTTAGCAAAATCCCCTGGATTTAGCTCACATTCAGTAAAAGTGCTTCCCTGAGCACCTAAGGAGGCACTGTGAAACATCTTGGTGACAGACACAAGACAATACCAGAGTGACTTCTCAGCAATACTAAGGACTGGGTTGAGGCTTCCCTTTGTATTCATTTTGGTGAACTGTCCATCACAGCCACTTGCACTCTGACCATTTTAGTGTTCCCCAATATGGTGATATTCACCTGAGAAGAAGTGAGATGCATGAAATAGGTGGGTGTCCAGTGTGATATAGCTGGAAAATAGAATCTCTTCAAAAATAGAGCAAATGAGAATGCCAAAGCTCTGAAAACTGCCTTAAAACAACAATAGGGAAGTTTTGTCTGTTTCTAAGCAATCGAATCAACTCCACTGTCACCATGTGAGCAGTGCTGCCATTTATGGGACTGCTTCACACAGTAGGATTCAGGACAACAGGTCAAATGTGGAGGAAAGAAATATTAGACTATGCAGGTTTTCCTCTAGAATACAAGTGGCCCCATTTCTGTGTCTTGCTGCCATTGTTTTTGGTTAATATTGCAGACAACCTGATTTTTATAAAGCTCCCTCACTTTTCCTTCTGTCATACTTTCCCACCCCCAACTCCTTAAAAAAACAAAAATTTTTCTTTTCTATATCCATTATACTTTATATTCTTTCTCTGTCTTCTTCTCTTGGTTCACTTTGTGACCTCTCTATTCCTGACTTTCTAGCACTTACAATTAAGTGCGGAGAGCAGGCAGCTCTTTGAAAGAAAGTGAGTTGCAAGGAATTTCATCAGCCACAAAACAACCTCAAAGACAGAAGGAAATCTCCAGCCAGCATCTTAGAAGTATTTGACAGACTATCTTTCCTGTGTGCAAAAGTGGTGATTTTTATTTGGCTCAGATTAAACCAGGCAAGAACTAGGTAATGTTCCTCCCCTGCTATTACTACCTTCCTTAAACTCTACTAGTCTGATCTCCCAATTGTCTAGCTCTTAGGAGCCAATTACCTTTAGCCAAATCTCCCTTATGGACAAGCAAAAATGGATCAGATCTCTCACACTGAAATACCATATACAAATAGAGGCAAGAGTTTGACTTCTTGACTACTTGTAGGATTAATTTCACTAGGTCATCAAAGCAAGATATGTGATGGAACAACAAACAGAATTACTTCAAAAGCCCATCAGCTCGTCATGATCTTGAGTCTACTTTATTATAATATCTTCAGGAGGTTATTATGTTATCAAATTAACAAAATATATTATGTTTTACATTGGGTATTTTTTCCCTAAAAAACTTCTATACAGTCACCTGTAATTTCCAAAGGACTCTCCTGCTTTTCAGGCAGGGAAGTGTCAAGTGTCAAGACTATATTCCTGAACAAAATGAAGGTCCTGCCTGTTGCTGGGGTTTATTTTAGAATATGTGGTTGGCCTCTGAGAGACCTACCTTCTGTCACTTTCTGTAGGATGTTGGCTTTGCAGTGATCCTTAGTGAAATGTTTTGCTGTGTTTTGTAAATAGGAGGGCTGTGCACCTACATGTAGGAGAAATTAAATTGTTGGGAGAGTTTGGCAAAATCCACCACATCAATGATATTTTTGTATGAAATTTGTGAGTCTGTTCATTTAAAAAAAAAGATCTTGGCTTTACAACCAAATTTCTTGTAGAATAAGAACTGATAGTGATCTTGCATCTTCAAGAATCTGATGACTGAGCTTTGTAGCAATGTATACCACAGGTGGGCCAGCACCTGGCCAAGTCTTTCCAGTTGGAGTAAGCCATTTAATTCAGAGCCGAGGAGCAGGACTTTCTCAATCTGTTACCATTATCAGAAAAATATTACCTAAAGATATTAAAAACAGCTTACTGGTAAATAAAAGAAATAGGCCTTGACAAATGGAATAAGTAGGATAAAAATAAATAAATCTTTTTATGACCTGGAATGAAGGAAAATATGGGTGGAAGCAAAACTCATTTTTAAATGTTAAATACTCATTGTAAAACCTAAGCTATATAAGACATATTTCTTTTTAATTCTTTATATATGGAAATCTAAATCTTAAAAAGAGTACATTCTACTAAGGATGTTGTTGCCAGCTTTGTTGACAATGTATCTTCTACAGCTTAGAGAAATGAATAAAATTGCTCCAGGATTCTTTGATCCCAGCCACTTTGGGTCTAGAGATGAATCCCACTCCCCTCTCACAATACTCCCCCAACCCCCAACACACAGCTATAAATTGTGAGAATCCAACATTTTCCTCAGATATCATTAAACCATCAGAAAAATTACTTCCTGTAAAAACAACAAAGTTACCATGTAAATAGTTATATTAGTTATCTTCCATGTGATTAAAATATAAGAGTCTGTTATTTCTTCGGGCACCTAGAAAGTCCATTCACTGTCTGAAGTGGTTTACTTTGATCCATTTCCTTGGTCAGTCAAACTGAAATGGAAGGCTTCTGTTTATATATGGATTTCTGTGTATCTAACCTTTGATTCTGTGGGACCAATGGCCAGTATGTGGTAATGGAAACAAGTCTCCCAACCCTTATCTAGCATTAAGCTGTTCACCTTGTCATGTTTATCTTGCAACAAGACCTAACTTGCACTTCCCTGTTGTTCTGCATGATTGGACTCCCAAGACTATCACCAATGATGACAATTGTCCTGTAATGGACTTAAAGCACACACACATTCACACATACCTTGTCCTCGCAGTTCCAGGCCAACCCTGGAAGGTAAAGTCGTGTGTCCAGTTTCTCTGTAAGGTCTTAGTGGCAAGAACTAGAAGTCAGTCTAGTGGATCAGTGTGATCTCAGTGATATTTAATAAGGGTTTGCAATTATTGAATTCATTTCTGTGTTGTTTCTCACTCTCTTTTTTATTTCTCCTGTTTTTCTCATTTTCAAAATATCAGTAGAACAAGAGAGAGAATGGGAGAGAACTTTGGCTTTTTTGGACTCTTTAGAGGTGGATATTGAGTCAATACATTGTAATTTCTGTTTCTTATAAATTATTTAAAAAACTAAAGCAAATCTGCTTCCTTTAACATAAAACCAAGTCTAAACTCAGACACTGCAGGAGTTTGCCTGTTGACAGTGGTTGCTGTGCTGCTCGTTGTCCTGGGTTTCATGTCTGGACAGTAGCTCTGAGACATCTGACATGGCTTCATAGTGTGATCCCGTTGTGCCAGGGAATAAATAAGAAATGAGGAATGGCCTACTCTCTCACTATGGGTAAAGAGTGTGTAATGTGTATATCATCAGGTAGAAGACTGTGTTTTCATTTGGGATTGGTTTCTTCTAAAAATGGCCATTTCTGTTTGGGAATACAGTTCAGCTGTGTGTCTGCAATTCAGTCAGCTTCCTTAAATGTATAAAATCAGTGAAGGGGAAAAATAATTTTCTGGGAGCATTGTGGGTGACTAGAATAGGGTTAAATATCCTTGGTTAATTTATCTGAATTTTTAATTAGTTTAATTATTACCCAAGGGAGAAGGGAATGGCAGCCAACCTTAATATCTCAAACTCCTTGGTGAATTAAAAATATATAGTTTTGTGGCTTGATAGGGAGGTCACTGAACCTATGTTAATTTAGCTAGAAGTATCTGAACAATGTAAAGGAATAGCCCCTCTATTTCTGTAAATAAAACATTTTATTTAACAAATTAACTATTAGAAAATCTGGAAGATAAACATATCTATTCTTTTGAGTTAACAATTTATCCTTTATTTATAAGAAAAGCAGAAACCAAAGCCTTTTGTTATCTCTGGCATAGCTTCTATTCTGATTTAAACCACAGATCTTTACTCCCTTAAATAAAAAAAAAATTAACGATGATCAAGTAAAGGTACCTGAAAAGACCCACCATATTAAAAAGGGAAATTGCATTCCACAATATTACTCATAGAGAGAAAGGATCAGAAGGAATTTATTGGTGCACACTAGATACCAATAAAACATTACTAAATATTTGGGTAATTTTAACTCCTTTGGTAGTGAGGAAAAGAAAAGAGTCTTGAAAACTACCTTTCTTGTAGCTACTTAGGTAACAGCCAACCTAAAAGGATAATCCATTTGCTTAATGACTTCATTGGGTTGTATGGAGGGTGGCAGGTTTTGACATTACCAGTTCTTTGGAATCTTTTGTGTTGTAATGTGCCTTTCCTCCAAGGGTTTTGAAAGGCATGCCTGGATGACATCTGCCAAGTAGTGGATCACATTGAAAATCCTACTGGCTTCAGATCACATCACCCAGGGGACCACTGTACATGGCAAATCCTCTCTCTCAATTCCAGACAATTCCATGTGCTCAACTTTTTAGATCAGTGTGTTCTGATTTAGTTACAGAAAACCAGCTGTAGAAATGTGCATTTCTCAAACACATGAAATTTGATGATGGGCACCAATGAGAGTCAAATGCCCCTGTGGAATTTCCCACCCTCTCTATGTCATGCATTTCTTGCTTTAAAGAAATGCTTATCCTGGTATGATGCTTAACATAAAATAAGTCTGAAATACAATTTAGAAAATTAAAGTTTCACTCCATGGAGTGGATGACTTCACACTCTTGTCACTGAGCTCTGGGCACTGCCATTCCCTGGATCTTGTCTGGAATCTTTTTACTCAATAGACCAGATTATTTGTAATATTAAAAAAACTGCAAAATGTTGTTCATTTAAAATAATTCTCCACAATCTTCCTGGAAAAGGGTCTCACATATAATTTACCTATCATAAACACTTTTACATTCACATTTGTGAAAATATTGTCTGAAAAATTATATATTAAATCAACTTTTATAATCCAAATATATTTTACATGCTACTTAGTACATTCATTCACTTCAAAAACACATTGAACATCAATCTATGTTCAAGGTAGGAGATAAATATAACATGGTCCTTATCCTTAAAATTTTAGAGTAAACAATCTCTGAGTTTAAATATAAGTGGTTAAATACAAATATATCTCATTTAGTTTCTTTTAAAATAATGATGTGTTCAAATTAGTGGTGTGACTTAAATGAGTCCATTTTTATTATTCCCTTAAATCAATTAAACAAATCTTCTTTCAATGTTATCATTTTGTCTAGTTATATATAAGTACACTTAATGAATTAATATATTTTTGGCTATTTTCCATGACATAGGAGATAAAACCATTTTTACAATCTATTTTTAAAAATAGCATGGACATGAAAAATACAAGTAGGACTGCTTAAATCAATGAGGAAATATATGTATCTCCAATATTGTTCTTTTAATTAAAAGGTAGATTGCTTTCTTTTGGTCTCTTTTAAACAAATGCTAGTCCACAGATTAAGGGATAACTGTGTTAACACACTGAGACCTGAGCAATGACTTAGGATATCTGTATCATAGAAAGAATAGGTAAAAATTTAGAGGCTAAAAAATGATAACAGCAAAACAGCATAGATGATTTTCTGTACTACATCAAGTTTATTTTTGATATGTTTCTTCTAAGAGCTATTGAGCCTAGATACTGAGTTCAAGGCTCATATTTCTAGCATCACAACCTCCAAATCAGCAAACGACATCACAATGGACACTGGAATCTCTCTGCAGTGACTGTTATATCAAACAAAATCTATGAAATTAATTCAGTCTGTGGGTGGTAGCTGGAACTCTAAAATAAGTCGAAGTCATTTATTATTTTCTATTAAAAGATCCAATTCAGAAAATTCCTGAACATGTGAACCAGAAATTTGACATTAAACTGTGCACATTCACTCAGGCCACAAATTGATTCATGCCACAAATATCAATTGACTATTTCAATCTTTCAAGAACTGTTTTAGGCACATATTGTTGTGATGAATTCAGGCAACCTTCTGGCCTTTGTATATCCTACCTTCTAATGGGGGAGCAAACTAATGGGAAGGACTAAGAAGACAAAGCAGTTAAAAAGAAAAGATGTGATAAGGGCTGCTATTTAGACAAGGTGGACAGGGTAGGCTTATCAGAAGAGGTGATATTTGAGCAGAGACCTAAATAAAGTAAAGGAGTGAGCCATATCAGTATCTAAGGAAGATGATTTCAGACTGAGGGAAAAGTAAGAGCAAGGGCTGTGGGACAAGAGCTCACTTATATATAAGAATGGCAAAAAGTCTTGTGGATGAAGCAAAATGAACAAGAGAAAGTATGATAGTAAGTGGAATTGGAAACAGCAGGGGTCGGAGCATGTCAAGATTGTGGGGTTTTGTTCTAAATGGGAAGATGATGAATAGATGCAAGAAGAAAAGTAATCTAAATTTTCTTTTGAAAGGATCTCTCTGGCTGCTGAGTGAAGAGAGGATATTAGGAAGACAGGTAAGAATGGCCACAAAGAGTCCAGTGTAGGGTAAGATGGTCCAGAAAGGTGTGATGGGCTTAGATTAGGAAGTAGAGGTGCCGAGAAGGGGTTAGATTCAAAATCTAATTAAGGATATATTGTGAAGGACAAGATTTGCCAGTGGACTGGTATGTGATAGGAAAGAAAAAGATCAGGGATGACAGACTTATTTATATGTACAAACCATGAGGCAAATGACCGTGCAGTTGACTGAAATGGTGAACAGTGGATTAGGAGCTGATTTAGGAAGAAAATCATGCTTGTTTTGTGGGTGTGAAAATGTCAGTTGGAGATGTTTATTAGATATACAAGTGACAGAGCAGGAGCATCTACTAAGCTAGAGTTAAAAATAAATGTGAGAAGAATCAGCTTATAGTGCTATTTAAAACCATGAGAGTATATGAAGCTACCAAGGAACTGAGTGTAGATAAGAGAAGTCCAAAAAGGAGGCACCTCTCATTCCAACATATAGAAGTCAGAAAACAGGAGGGTATTCTAAGGAATGTACAGTCAGGTAGAGAAAAACCAGGAATCGGTGCTGTCCTGGAAGCCAGGTGAACACAGCATTTCCCAAGTGGGCAACTGGAACAGTGCTACTATGTGGCTGAGTGAGCTGGAGACTGACAGTGGACTATAGGACTTGATTCTGTGAAGGTCATTGCTGACCTTGACTAGAGCACTGTCTCTGCAGTCATGAGCAAGAAAGCATGACTCAGATGAGTTCAAGAGAACATGTGAGGTGAGGAATTAGAAACAAGGACAATTAATTTTTTTACTAAAAGGTGAAGCTGAAGATTGATGTGGAAATTATAAATAAATATGAGATGATTAGAATATATTTAAAAAGCTATTACAGCATGGGTATATGTTGATGGTACTGATATAGAAAGAAAAAAATGGTAACACGAGAGAGAAAGAATATTTATTTGAAGGAGAAATGTGCTTGAAAAGGCCAGAGGGATGGGCTCCAGTATATGGGCAGAGCAGCTGGCTGGTTAGGGCAGGCTGCCCAGGGGTTGTACCAGGAGACAAGGCAGTGTGTACAGGACAGGTGCAGGCAGTTTGTGTAGATATGATGAGGGAGTGTAAGAATATACCCTTCTGATACTTTTTTCTCAGTAAAGACAGAAGTTTTTCTGATGAGAATGAGGAGGGGAAGCGTTTATGTAGGTTTGAGAAGTGCAAAATGGTCCTTGGAAAATGCAAGCCATATTTATATAAATACAGTGTAAGACAAGTCAGCATGGTGGTCTTTTGCTCTCTGGTCATATTTAGCTTCTTAGGTTCAGGTTAGGAGTAAAGAGACATTAAATTTAGCCAGAGTTGAGTTTTTATTCTTTTCAGAAGAGTGTAGTGGTGGACGAGAAGATGAAGGGGTTTGAGAATAAACAGAATAATTTGAATGAAGAACCACTGACACTAAACTGGCCAAGGAGGAAAGCAATGACACGAGGGGATGATAGTGGAAACCTAGCAAAGTCAGTGGCTTGGAGATGCTTTGGAGTGTATAAAAGTTGTTGGAATGATGGTGCTAAAGGGAGTGACCTGGAGGGAGAAGAGGTGATGATCAGAGAATGGGTACTTGAAATGGAAATTTTGGTGCTGATGCAGTTATTGGTAATGACACAGTGTAGGGCAAACCATGGGCATGGGTGGCTAATATTTGGACAGAGACAGGGCCAGTCAAGGAGCTGAGTGACCAAGTTGGTGGATGGTGTGTGAGTAGTGGTGGGGGAAAAAATAGTTCAATAGGTGCTAAAATATTCAGTCATGTGGCACATGCTTCCAAAATGGTTACTAGAGTAGATGGAGAAGCAAAGTCTGGAAATTGCAGCAAAGAGCAGAGCAAGATGTAATTCTCTTTCAGGCTAGTGAGATGCAGGTTATGGTAGGGAAAAATAGCCATCCTTGAGCAGCAAGGAGAGTGATGTCATCGGGAAATAACTGTGTCATAGAGAGATTTAGGGGTGGCAATGACAGTTGTGAGATCTAGAAGGTATAATGGAAAGGTGGGAGAAGTGCTGGGGGGATCAGAGTTTGAAGCAAATGAGGGGATATGCCAAATCATTTGGGGACAAACATATCGGTGAGGGCAAAGAACACGGGAGTTTGGGCTATTTTGGCAATAGGTACTCAAGGATGAGGTCATGGTGGCCCAACCCTGGG